AGCCAATCCTCAAAACCCCATTACAATATGAAGAAGGGAAAGAAGAAACTATATCTAGAACTCCGAGTGAGCAGTTTCAGACGCCTTGGACTTTGATATTGCTTTTGTGAATATGTCTCTTAAGATTTTTCTCGGTTAAGCTCCTCTTTATTTCTCTTTGGCTGCTTCGTTTATATAGGCAGTCTTGGGCAGACCGTTTGAGCATCCTTCCTTGAATAGTTGATCTTCTAATCTTGTGACTTGCCTTGATATTTTGAATTGCTTTCCTTTCATAATATTTCCCATAGTCAAGCTCAATATATAAGGCAGCCAAAAGATATTTAAAATATCACAACTATAAATTCACAAGCAATATCCGTATAAAGAAAGATAGTTACGTTAATTCATTTATCATCAAACCATATATAATTTAGTCAAGTAGTCTTTCCAAAAGTAATAAATTATTTACTTAAAAATAGACATGCACAGTCAGCATGCAATCATGCATTAGCACTTAAAGATCCTTTAAGATATTTATTTTAATCTCTCAATCAAAGATAATAATTCAAACCGTAAAGAATATTTTCTTAACAAATATAAGTTTATCATGGTCAACTCTTATAAAGATAGCAAGGCACTTAATTAGCACACATATGTATGTTATGGTCAAAAGGATTCTTTCCATAAAGAATTAGACTAATTTGAGTGGGTATCCCATCATGCATGGAAAGAGATTGTATTACGTATAATTATAATATGCATGACTACATCAAATAAGATCTTGACACGTAGGTGACAATTCAACCCAACCATAGTATTATTATGCTAGCACATATTAATCGTGTATGTCACCCGTTCGCACAGAACAGAACTAAGGATAGTTCCGTCTTTCGTTCCATATGGAACTGATAGTGGTTATGTTCGTCGTTCCACCTGCATGGTTAGTTATCAACAAAACATATATGTCCGTTGTAGGATAGTTCCGGGTTCAGGTCTACGGCTTGTTCCAAAGCACGACTTATCTTCCTTTCCTGCAATCACTTATAGACCAAAAGTAACGCTAGTCGTTTGTCATCAACAAAACAATATGTTCCAACAATTTCCAAACAACAATTCTTGGGGTACACCTTCTTATACACATCAGTACACATCAGACAAAAAAAACTCTCACAGACAATGGGGTGTACTGATGTGTATAAAAAGGTGTACTGAAGGAATTTTAGATTTCCAAATACATTATTAGAGTAATTGTCATTGATCAAACAATAACTAATTCGAAAAGCTAACTCTCACATGTATAATGAAACAATATTTCATTATACATTCTCAAATCTGAAGAGAACTGCCATTGATCAAACAATAACAAATTCCGTCGAATGGCTAACTGTGTCAGTTGAAAACACATACTAAGTATTTTCGATTGTGCGACCACATGAGTTAACTTTTCTTTTGAAAGATATGATTGAACTACCCAACATAAAAACTACTCCATATTTAACAAATACTCCCTCCGTCCCCCTAAGTTTGTCCCGTTTTACCTTTTTCGTCCGTCCCACTAAGTTTGTCTTATACCATATTTGGTAACATTTGAGTGGTTAGAATTCATTCTTAATTTATTTACACTTTATCAATTCAATACCAACCACACAATTCCACTTTTTCTTAAAAACCACACCACCCCCTCCGTCCCAAACTTAGGGGGACGGAGGGAGTATAGTAGAAGAAGGTGTTGGTGGACATAAATACTGCAAAGAAAATGAAAACTACAATTGGAAAGCATGACAAGAGAGCCTATAACCTAAAAATAGAGGTCGTCATACATATTTAAATATTACTCCATATGAGACAGTTACGTACATCAATAGCATTGTGCCACAAGCAATAGCATGTGTCGATATGTAATGGATTGGTGATCTGCACTCAACATAATTTTGAATCGGTGACTTATTGATGTGGACATAATTGTGTGTAGGGTACTTAATTCTTAAGACCTCAAAATGTTATCCTATACCGAATATAAAACTATATTTTATAAAAATAAACCTCTTAAATTTTTATTTTGAAAAAAGTTTAACATTATATGATATTCCGTATCAATATCATATCGATTTATTTTCAAGATTTCAACCGGCTCATTTGGACCTTTCTAAGATTAGTTTGGTCTAGGACTTGTCTAGATGTTAATTGTTATATGGGGTGTTCTATTTTGGTTTGATCACATTTTTAAATTATATATGTGGTCTGGTTTTAGATTAAGTCAAAGTGAATAATTTGGAACCGATTATGAATTGCTTAATTTGCTGGTTTGTCCCTAATGAAGATGTTGAAAATCAACTAAAACAACGGCAAAATAAAGTACATTTCCACCATAATTAGAATATACTCGGTCATATCTTAAATTAATAATATCACAAGTATTAATACCTATGTGAATATTAATTATTAGCTCAATTATTGTAGTGGGATAAGAATTAAGAGAAAGTATAGTCTAAGATATAAAATCGATAACAAAAAGGTAAGAGGATCCCAAACGAGTTGACTATATGAAGCCGATATTTGGAGCAGTTGGAGCTGGGAAGGCTTGTTTTTTCATAGTCAACTAACTACTCAACTCTTGTTCTAAAAGAAAGACTTTTCTTCTTAGCTTTTACGTAGTAATTGGCATTTATCGAACAACTTCATTGCTGATTTCCCCCAGTCCAGCGAATTTGGCAACCACGCCCACCCAGACAAAACCAAGGTGGCAATAACCAGCCAACTCGAAATGTTTAGGAGCATGTTGGTGACCGTGTTGTTTGATATATGGGTTTTATGTGATAATTAAAAGGAAAAATTGATAGTAATAATCCCAACTATTGGCGGTCCGCTCATAATAATCTCAACTATTGATTATTACAGAATAATCTCAACTTTATGGACCTTCCGCCAATAATGGTCCCTATGAATAAATTCTTGTAGTTTCTAAAGTGGATGAGATAAGATATAACAAGTAATCCCTATAAATAATCTCAACTTTTAATTTTTACGCTTAATTTCTATTTAAAATTCACTTTTTATAGAGGTAATATATGGTCATGGACCATTATTGGCGGATAGTCTATATAGTTGGGATTATACAAAAATAATCAATAGTTGGGATTATTTTCAGCGGACCAGCAATAGTTGGGATTATTATTTTCAATTTTTCCTAATTAAAATAAGTAAAGATGTAATTACTTTTGACTGAATTAGTTGAAGTTTCAAGTAAAAGATTATTTTAACTATTTTTAATATTACGTATATTTTTTTATTTATTACTCCGTAATAAAACAAAGTTCGGGCACATATAAAGAACCATTGTATGTACATGTCTGCACTAGTTGTTTGTATACAAAAAATATTTGTGCACATATACTTTTATCCGTGTGCATATATGTTTACAGACAATTTTTGTTCATGTACTTTTTTGTCTGTGTGAAGGGTAAATAAATAGGGTGTAACCCGGGGGCGTGTGAAGGGTAAATAAATAGGGTGTAACCCGGGGGCCAAGCACTACGTACTGTTCTTTATATGTGTATAAAAAAGTATTGAATGTTCTAGAAATGTGTTTTTTTCTAGAGAAGTGTGGAATTCATTAAATCTGTGTAAGTGTCTGGAAGCCTCTCGAATATTCTAGGAAATTGTGGAGTTCTCTGCTATATCCTTCCAAAAGATTAGAGAAACTTATGAATATTTCTAGAAAAACTCTAGAAGTGTAGTGCTTAGAAAAAGTTCTAGAAAAGCCTAGATGAAATTAATATAGATATGAGTGAGACTATTCATTTCTATGAGAACCTTTTGCATAGATCTTGAGTGAGTGAGAGTGAGAGTCTCATTGAGATAGGAGAGTGAGTCTTCATTCGAGATAAGGCCTAAAGATGTTTCTTGATGAAGATGAGCTATTGAAGAGCATTCTTGAAGGTGAGAGGATACTATCTAAGAAAGCTCCTCATAAGTGTATGTGATGGAGTGAGGTAGTCTCATACACAAAAAGTGAATTGACCGGATCATTTACTTGTGATATTCTCCGTATGTCTTATACATTTCAATTGTATAATACAAAATGATATTGGCAAATTGGATCTTAGTATTACGAGGAGGAAAGTGTCAATTGAGTACACCAATTTGTATGAGGTGGAGTAAATAGTACACTATATTGCATTTGATCTTTGTAAGTACACAAATTCGGATTTTTAGTGTACGTTAATTGAGTACACCTGTTAGATTAACATGTTAATACAACTGAGTTGACTAACGAAATGTTGAGTAAGAAGGGGTAATGGACCAAGGTTATGTCGACGACCTTCACGAAGTTGACCAAAAAGGGAAATCAACCTTCGAAGGTCAACCTACGGGGGGCGTCGGCCAGTAGGGGTGCAACGAACAAGGAAAAGTCGACCTGCCGGGGGACTGACGTCAACCTAGAAGAAGTCGATGAAGTAGTTGGGGGCTAGCTCGACCTTCAAAAAGTCGACCTATAAGCGTTCTGTTGGCTAATTGATGATAGCGGTTTCTGTTGGCTGTTTCAATTAGCTGATAGGAGTAGCAGTTTGTCAAAATGTATTTGGTTAAATGACTGTTGACAATCAGATGATAATTTGTTAAATGACCATTAAGGACATCAATTAATTTTTATTAATATAGTTAGTTCAACTAATTAAACTGTTTTTACTATTTCAAAACTAAAAATGTATGAACACGAGTAATATTTATTTTAAATCTTTTATCACGAATTAATAAATTTAATAAAAAAATAATGATATTTTGATTCATTAGGCTAGTCAATTCTCTATTGCTTTATTTAATAATCCACTCCTTAACCGAATGGAAATGTAAAACAGTCCATAAGTAGAAACGCCCAATTCCTTCCATTCAAAAAAAATAATACCAAATGGGACTGAAATAATTACCCAATTTCTGACTGAAATCGGACTGAAATACCCAATTTCTTCCATTTAAGATAATTAATAAAAGAATACAAAAAGACCCATCAAAATGGGACTGAAATATCAAAATGCTTCTAACTAGACTTGGACCTCTAGCCTTAATGTAGAACATAATTGAAAACCGATTTTTTTTTTCTTCCATTTTGACGGAAGAGGAATAGGAGAATCGTTGAGGTGTCATTCGGCCAGACGCGAGAAGTTAACATCAGTCTCCCAAGGATCGGAGTTTGGTTCTTCTTGGCTAGATCCTTCCGCAGCCACCACGCGAGGTATATCTGTATATATTAGAGGAGGTATATGTATATATTTGCAAATCAGAGAACAAAGATAGCTCCCAGTATTGTTCTTTTGGTCTGCCGCAGAAGCTGGTGTGGATTGGGGTAAAAAAAAAAAATCTCTCTTGATCGGATGATTTTTGTGGAAGGCCAGGAAGGGAGATACGGAAAATGCTTGGGTAGTATGGTAAAGATGCGGAAAAGCCATCAGTAAACGCTAAGGTTTATGGCATTTAAGATTTCGGCTGTTGGACCCAAAAGTAGGACCACACAAAAATAATCCGAACCCGCATAATCCGTCCAATCCAACCCTATCCGACCCTATTTTATTGGGTATTTGATTTTTAAAAATATTCATGGGTTAAATATGTTTGAACCCGCACCTAATGGGTAGGATTGAGGAATTAAAATCTCAAACCCGATAATACCCGTCACAGCCGAAGTTCATTTTACTATTATTATGCTACAACGTTTTCTTGGATAATTTCAATTTAAGACAAATGTGTTCTATCTAAGATTTTATGATATTAGAATTATAATTAAACATTTATCATTTTGACTAGGTGATTATTATACATTTAAGTTTCCTTCTAAATGAACTTCCTTTACAGAAGGATGTTTTAATACTATTATCTAATGTTTTGCTTATATAGGATACGAGTACTTGTATTTGTTTGTGTGTTTTGGAAAACAGTTAATTGAGTTTTAAATTGGTTACATTAATTTCCCACATGAAAGATGCAACCCGACGTGATTTTTTTCCCCAATACCCGACCCGTTCATGCATGGTTTACAACTTATTCTGCGTACCGCGGGTTGGTTAATAGTCAACCCGAACAAATCGGATAGACCCAAAAAATATAACAAACCCGACTCAATCCGCCCGATGTGCAGCTCTACCCAAAAGGGCGATTCAAAAAGCCCTTTAACCAAATACCATGTTGGCGGTCAAAAAGTCAAATATAAGTCAAATCAGCCAAAAAATGGCTGATAGACTCCTAACCAAACACCACTTTAAGTTATTTTAAGTAATTTTAACCCGTAAAACTTGTGATAAGTTGTTGCGTACTCTTCAAAATAAAAGCCTATAAGTTCAAATTTCATCTAAGCTAGTCAAGGTAATTAGATCTATCGATGTAAGTACTAAGTAGACACTATGAGATTATCGATGTAAACGTGTTTTCAACAATAGCTTTTATCTTCGGTTCACTAAACACAATTCAATTCATTTCGCAGATATGAAAACAAAGCACTAATTTAATAAGCTAACAAATAAAAAACAGCAAGCGAAATAAGCAACAAGAACAGGTATATAATTGAACAATTATAAATATGATAATGCAACAACAAAGCTCAACATTTCAAAAGTTACAACAAATGACACTAAAAAGATTTACATCAAACCAACAATTAACAACGACAAAAAACAAGAATTCGGAAAACAAATAAAAATCATTAAAAAACAAAATGCAAAAAAAGGCATTCCTTAACGAACTAAGTAACAGATGTCCAGGTCTATCAAAGACATATAAGACCGACCACACACAAAAGCTATCACTACAAACCAAAGGGATCAAAAGTCCGTTTAAGTCCGTTTAATTAGGGTGAGAAACGATAGTGGATTCAAATCTGAGTCAGATCATGACTATTGCTTTGAATTAAAATTCGACACCCATATATATTGGTTCTCGTGAGTTTGAAATTAAGCTTAGGACCCGTAGGTTTTGATTATGTTTTTTTAGTATCATGAGACCAAAACATTAACACACATATTTTAGAAAAGGGAAAACTATCAAATAAGCCCCCCAACTTTTCAAAAAAATCAATTAGACTCTCTTACTAAAAGTTCACTCAATTACACCCCCTAACTTATTTAAAAATGTCAAAATTTCTTTTTAACCGGTAACCAATAGGTTACCCGTTTATTGTGTAAACGTGGCTATTTTGATTTTTTTCATTTTCATTTTCATTTAAAATTTCCTTTCTTTTTCCCCTTCCCCCAACTTCTTTCTCATTTCACTAGCCCGTTTCATTCCAGCAAAATTCCGCCTCCCTTCTTTCTTTTCTTCCACCTTTCTTCTTCTTCCACCCACCCTTCCTTCTCTCCCTTTCTTCTTCTTCTTCTTCTGCCAAGCAAAGTGTTGGTTCCGGCGGCGCAGCACTGCACACAGTCCGAGAAGAACCCAGGTCGCCGGAGATGCTGAAGTACTTCGCACGCCGGTTGTCCCCTTTTCAGCGATTTGATGGATTGGAAGTCGGGGAAGATGCTCCGTTGAAGATTCTGGGTCAACAAGTCGGCGACGGTGCTTTGTGAAGCCTCCAAGTTCGGACCACACCCAGATCTGTAGCATCAATTTGGCCGTGAACCATAGTCGTCGGTAGAGAAGAGGCTCAGGGAGGAGGGTGAAGGCCGGGAAATTTGAGCAGAACACTAGGTGGAAGAAGAAAATGGATAAAGAAAGAAATAAACAGAGAAGGAAAAAGTTGCAGAGATGGTGAGGCGCAGGGAAGAAACGCAGGGAAGAAGAGAGGAAAGCAAAAGAAAGAAAGAAAGGAAAAAAGGAAGAAAAAAATAAAAAACAAAAATATTCCACATCACACACGGGCAATTAACCGGAAAATTGAAAGAAAACCTACCAAAATGAGGATTTGCCATTTTTAAATGAGTTAAGGGGTTTGATTGGTTGAACTTTTAGTAGGGGGGCCTAATTGATTTTTTTGAAAAGTTGGGGGGCTTATTTGATACTTTTCCCTTTAGAAAATGTGTTGTACTTTATTTTTACTTAGGAAATTTTATCTATTATTTTGATTCAAAATAATAGATAAGACCAGACCAGACTTCCGTAGTTATAAAATACACAGAGACCAGACGTTTACCAGACTAGACCAGACCAACAAATTTCAATCCCAAAGAAAACATCCTTAGTCCCACACCACGGTAACACTTATGGGTAATGCTCTTTTAAGGAGAGGCATCGATGTGTGATCAAAGCCCAATTGAACATTTGAACTAGAACTCACTCTTTTTCATCAATGTGTGATCAAAGTCCAATTTATATCTTTTGAAATACTATATGACCGGTTTTGGGTGTTAACTTTTTTCTTTTAATATTGGAACGATCCAGGATTCCAGAGTATGAGGGTCTACATTAAGGTTATGATAGTTGGGAGAAAGTACACTTTTTTTGGCTAGTACACTTTATTTTTTAATTCTTTTAATGTAAATTTATTCATTTCTTCATTTTTCATACTTAACTCACCCGCTAATGTTTAAGTCTATTATAATTGATCTTTAACTCAGCACAATCCGAATTCCTAGATCCACCCTCAATCGATCCATAAACAATAACGCCTAACTTGATCATCCCCTCGTTTACTAGTTTGACTGTTTGAGGTGATTTAGTGTAGTTCAGTATCCCCATTCTCAAATTTGAGTCAAAGTAATACTACCTCCGTCCCATATTTATCTTCATAGTTCGGTTTACGATGCTTGACTGACGATAAAGCAACTCGATCCCTGTTCACACTCGGATTATTTTTAGTAAATAAAATTTACCTATTCAGAAACTACATTAAAACCGCTACAAAGCCTGATCAAGAAAATTTAATTTTGATAAAAATTTGATATATAAAGTAAAAGATTAAGAGTAATTTGAGTTGACCATGTGAATAGTAACTATGAAGATAATTTTGGGACGGAGGGAGTAGTTTTTTTTATATCGTAGTCAAAGTAATAGTTCTAACAGTAATAGTTCAGTAATAATTCTCAATTTTTCCGATGTTTCACATTAAAATTCATACTACGGCATTTCTTTTTTGACAACATTTAATTACTCCGTATGAAATAACAGCTCTTCCATCCTCCCATTTACTATTAAGTGTTAATACCTTGTTTTTACTCCATTTATAAGGGCAAACACGTTTTTAAGAAGTTACATTTCTTAGAAAAAAATTTAAAGTCAAATTAGGAACTTAATTCTGAATTGAACCCGATTTAGTACATGTTGATATGGTGTAATTATCACCGGTTACTGCGCTTTTAACTGCATAGTTATCTTCAAGAATTCATTTGAATGTCTTTCGAATTGAATTTTTATTTGAAATTTGGTATGAATGAACTAGACTTAATGAATAAGATGCTAAAAAAATCATCAAAAATTTCCACTGGGAACCGCCCCAAATGGCAACGGCCGGATAGAACTTTCTATATAAGGACTTATTTGACCCTTTTTATTCAACTTCGAGGACCAAAATGACTCTTTACTCCCTTTCCCAAGGCTTGAAATTCTATTACGGAGTAAACGGTTTAATTGATGAGAGATGTTAAACAAGTCAATTTTGGAGGTCATGTGCTCGTTTTTTAGACTTGAATTTAATGGACTTGATACCGTATTAAAACTTCAGCCTTCATACATAATTTTTTGACAAAAATTTTCATACATATATTAAAACGAATAAGATAAACCTGTTACATGATAATTATGAAGTGATTTTTACACGAAGTGAGTCTTTTACAAAGTAGTTGGCATAAAGGACCGTCCACTAGAAAACAGCATCATAACTGTATTATAAGGTTCCCTATGTAGGAAGCCAAATGAACAGTAATAGCAATGTTTAAAAGCTCAACTGTATGGTGCAAAATGAGTTGAAAGTCATAGCAGCAACTTTCAAAAACCGATTGATTAATACGGCCAAATGAGGATTTGAAACTGTCCCATTCGCTTTTGCGGGGAATATTCATAAGTTATGTCTTAAAACCCCCAAAATATCTTATTTAGTGTACATCGTTTGGATAGGAATTACCAAATCAACACATGAATTTCGAGTTACTCCTATTAAGTTATCTTTTAAAGTGAAAACTCATTCATAATACATCTTTTTACAATTTGATTCTAAACCATTGCTCTCCATTTCACAAACGACATAATGGTCCTTCATTCAATCAGCGGCGGACGCAGGATTTCCCGATAGCAGGGGCGGCAGTACAAGAATATACATACAAATACATATATATTAAAAATTTCGGGGTGAATATACCTAGAATTTTTTTCCCCGGAGGGGCGGCAGCCCCCTATAGCCCCCATGTGTGTCCACCGCTGCATTCAATATCATATTCCGTTTCCATTTTGTGATGGGATTAATAACCAAACATCACAATATTGTTTGAGTGATCATGATCATGAAAATAAGACACTATATACATCATCAGTAGCACTTACAAAGTAGTGCATTTCCTACTAACTCAGTGTCCATATATATCTAAGTTTTAGTTAATCGTACAGAGAGACAAGCATGGGAATACTCGGGCTTAAAGTTCAAAACCAGGAAACCTGGAATTCTCTGGTGTGAGCAAATCGAACCACAAGCAGACCGTACCAGCTAACCCTTGGAACAGGGAGTAGGAGTGGTCTGCTGCTTTGTCCCCAGCGGTGTCCCTGCCACCGTTGTGATACAGGAAGCTTGCGAATGCCCTTGCTCTTTCCTTGTATATGCTTTCTCCTGTTAACCGATAGAGAGACAAGAATGCATAAGCATTCCCAGCCGCACCATCCGCCAATCCTGCCTTCTTCACCAGCCCTCTCTTCCACACTACTTCCCCGGCTTCTATTGCTGCATCCCGGAATTCTCTGTCGTTTGGGAATACCTGATAAGGAACACATCAAACACACAAAAAAACATGTTAAACACAGATTGCATAGCAGGAAAAGACATGTCTAGCACGAATTGCATAGAGAGCTAACTCAGCTAAACAAACAAAAGCATGTTTTTGCGTTGCATCACCCGACCAAAAATAGCATTTTTTGGGCATTAGATCTTTACTTCCATTGTTGTCATTTAACATTGTACTTTGAGTTGTGTTATTTTCAACCCCTATGGCCCTATCAGCCAACCTCCATCTACACAAAGTGGCATGGCTTGCGTACCTCTATACTAACTTTTACACACCAATCTCTTCGGGAAAAAAACGTCCAAGTACGATAAACATAACACATTTATTTGAACACAAGTACACAACCATCATTGTTTTTTCTAGAAACAAGTCTCTCACTGCCTCCTAGAAGAAATATCATTAACTACTTTTATTCCTTTTCCGGATTGAATGAGTACTATTTCTAGGATAAAACAAAAGTACTCCTATATACATATGACACGGACTTAATTTTACTCCATGTTTGTCGTAATTTTTTCTTAAATGCTTGACAGAGTAATTACATGGAAGATGATGGCTTCCGCGAAACCATGTCGTCTTAATACAACTTTTTCATAACATGGTTCTCTGAGCAACAAAATTTTCAAAACTGTTATATTGATAGTAAGGCACTAAAAATATAATAACATAAATTACTACGACGAATGACAAAATAATAATAACATGAACGAAAATCGTATGTCAGCCTGTGGTAGAGTATGACACTGAATATCATATGAATAGCAAGTGAATGGTCATGATCAATATCTACCTGAGATGCTTTGCACAAAGTTATGGCAATGCCAGTTGCACCATGAGACCATTGCACCAGCTTATCCCTCGGATTTCCCTCGCTGACCGGGTAATTGCCGCTGTGTGGAAACCTGTTGCTCATCATGTATCTTAAAGTGCCCTTGACATCTTCAATACCATTCTCTCGTAGTGGGAAATGCAGTAACACTTGCAAAATGCCAGCAAGACCATGTGCTGCACCCCAATATCTAGTGCCATGCCATCTGTACATAAGTGGGCAGCTTGAATTGTCAGATGACCCTGCCCTTCCGCCTTCTAGTATGGCTTCAACGACCGGCATGAGAAGATCATTTGGCACTACTTCTGATCCTAAGTGTCGGTTTATGAAAAGAGCTGCCCACAAAAAACCGGCTCTTCCATAGAGCAGATCGTAGGACATTCCGAATCCTCCATCTTCAGGACCAACAGGAAGGGCCTTCTCCTGTGCTACCTGAAAACAGACAGATTTTTATTGTAAGCATTTCACAAACAATTGATCATATTCTTAAGTCAATATAAATAACAAATTATTCATTCGACAAAACATCACAATCTCATTGTTTAACTTTCCTATCATCCAAGAATTATCTCACTCTAATAGAAACAAATTTTAAACACACTATTATTGTAAAATGCTAAAGGTACACCAAAATGGGGTACCCCGTTTTTACCCCACCCTAATGGGTGGCCATAAATAGGGCAATTCATTTAAGTGGGGCACCACTTAATGAGTTGTTTCATTTATGGCCACCCATTAGGGTGGGGTAAGAATGGGGTACCACATTTTGGGGTACCTTTAGCAAAGCTCCACTATTATTAGCATTAGCTGAGAATTTTGTGAACATTTCTGGCCAAAACATTTATCCACGCATTGTTCAATATATAAATGATTTAAGGGACGTATCAACTGATCAAACATGTAGTTGGAACTAGAAAAAAATCAAGTTGCAAAAATATTAGAAATAATTCCAAATATATGACCAAAATAAAATAAGTGGATAGAACTGTAACTGTAGTAACTTTAGTGACTATAATTGTATTCAAATGTTTTATTGTAGTGACTTTAAAACTTATCATAGTAACCTACAGTCACATTTTTGTCCATATATTTTTTATTAGTAACTTTTTGGGAAAAATCTCAAATAGGGTCTCTATCCAAAAAACATTTTGAACAAGTTCAAATCTCTCAAAAGGGTTAAAAAACTAAGAAACTAAGGGAGGGATTTAAACTCTCGCCATCATAAAGTGTGTTGCAACTCTTTCATTCTGTGCGAATAGCAGATTTTGTCTTGCTGATAAAACATATATGTGCATATAAAAATATATTGTATATATAAATATTAGGGTTGAGTGGAGGTTGGGGGCTAGTAGCCCTAGCGGCCTGCCCCTTTAACAGAGCTGTAAAGATTTTTTCCCTTTTGCCAACTCTATACATAACTGGTAAAATTATCCGCTTATTGCTAACTACTCCGTAACATATTACACAATCACAATGAACTACAATCTGTTGACACAATGTGTTAGCTAAGCAGTATCTGCTTAGCTGTACTCTCCCTCAAAAGAGGGTATTACAATCAACAGCACAGTCTTTTGACACAATGTGTTATCCAAGTATTATCTGCTTGGCTGTATTACCCATAAAAACAGAATATCATAATCAACTACACAATGTGTGAGCCAAGTATTATCTGCTTTGCTGTACTCCTTCCCCCAAAAAAGAATGTGGCAGGTAGGACAAGGAAGCCAAAGGCAAAACATAGCAGAATGCTACTAAGCTGGCAAATTGAAATGTTTTAATTGTATACATTCGAGTATTTGACCATTGAGTATATATATATATATATATGTATGTATATATATCCAGAATTAGAACAGGCTTCTACATCAAGAAAGAAGATGGTCTAACATCAATTTCATCACCCAAAAATACTAAACTATTGATTACATCAACTAGGGCCTTTCAATTGTTAGCACTTGCATCAATTTCTCTTTAAAAAAAATCATCAAGCCAACAAGGGTTGTGAAAGGGTCAGAAGTGTAAAAGTTTGCTTATTTCATACGTAGTATTCCACTAACATTTTCTTCGTACTATAACACAGCAAGTCAGCAATTGTAGTTCAAACACTATCAGAAGTCGCATCACGTCCAGAAATTTGACAGAATACATTCATGAGAGATTTAGACACTTGCATACAAACAGCAGTGTCATTACCTCTAGGAAACAGTTCAAATAAAAGTCTCGCTTCTGCTGATCCCCACAGTAATTGCATGCAACTGCACCTAGTGCATAGGTCCCTCCTCTACCACACAGAAATGTTATGTGCCTGGTCCCCAGCAAATCAGAAAAAACCATTATAGAAATCCATTCATATTTAATTTGATGACCCAAAAGATTTTTCAAGAATTATGACAAAACGTTACTCCACGTCAATAATGCATTAATTAAAAATGCAGAGTGCAAGAATATATCTCAAAAATATATAGTGGTCCAGATCATGTGATACTCCGTATATCTCAGCAATATATAGTGGCCCAACAAGAATATATTCCTAAATATTACTCTCTACTCCCTAATGTTTGCTAAATATTAAAAATGCAGAATGCACTGGTGCAAACACATTTTTTTGTTCAAGTTTGACCGTGCTTTATACTACGTATTTACGAGCACAAATAAGATACTCCCTATGATAAAATAAACATGCTTGGAGTACCCATATTTTCTACACCTTTTGTGTAGACCTTTTCTAGTTGTTTGTCTACAAGGCAGCTCCTGGACGAATTGCTTGTGTAGGCAGACTAGAAAGTGTACACAAAATGTATACAAAATATGTGTACCAACAACATTTTTTTAGTTGCAACACTCTCATTTTCATCCTTACTAATCCATAACTTTGATTGTCTTCATACTTAATTCTATAATAGTAAAAAATAAAAATCAAATTATGAAATTTGTAATAAGACGAATTCAACAATCAACAATATTTTTCAAAAAAATCATACATTAATAAATAAAAAAGAAACGGAAATGGAGGTTAACACATAGTACTCCCTTCGTGTATAACAATAAGGGCCTGTTTACTAATAGAAATATTTTCCAGTTTTCCAGAAAACTGGAAAACAGAAAACAGGAAACGTGTTTACCAAAGAAATTCCTGGAAAACTGGAGAAAGGAAAAAAGAAAAACGCGTTTACCAAAGGAAAAATTGAAAATAATAATCCCAACTATTGTCGGTCCGCTGAAAATAATCCCAACAATTGATTATTTTTGTATAATCCCAACTATATAGACTATCCGCCAATAATGGTCCATGACCATATATTACCTCTATAAAAAGTGAGTTTTAAATAGAAATTAAGCGTAAAAATTAATAGTTGAGATTATTTATAGGGATTACTTGTTATATCTCATCTCATCCACTTTAGAAACTACAAGAATTTATTCATAGGGACCATTATTGGCGGAAGGTCCCTAAAGTTGGGATTATTCTGTACTAATCAATAGTTGGGATTATTATGAGCGGACCGCCAATAGTTGGGATTATAACTATCAATTTTTCCTTTACCAAATCGTTTTCCAAAACGGAAAAAATGAAACATGTCTCTCTTTTCCTTAATGATTTGGAGAAGTGACTTTTATTAGTTTTCCAAATTTGGAAAACGCAGATGCTACATAGCCTTTGCAATGAATTTGCATACTTACACCTAGTGGTGGGTCCGGTCCCGCTCCGATGTCGATTCCATTCCGGTACCTCCATCCTCGTACCTTACCCCTTACCCCTACCCTACCCTACCCTATCCACCCAACCCCGCGTACCCATTTTTCCCTATAATGACCTTACCCCACCCCCCACCACATGCCCCGACCTCGGCCCCAACCCAATCCACCCTACCTACTCGTAGGGGTCGGGGTAGGGAAGTTATGGGTGGGGGGGGTATGGTCGGGGTGGGGTGGTAAGGTCTAGGTGGAGGGGGTTGGGTGGGGGTAGTGGGTGGGTTAGGGTCGTGGTTAGGGTTAAGGGTGGTAGTGGGTTAGGGGTAGGGTAGGGAGTTGGGATAGGATGGCGGTAGGGTGGGGTCAGGACCAGGGTGGGGCCGGGGTACGGAAGGGGTAGGATGGCGGTAAGGGTGGGGGTAGTGGGTAGGGGTAAGGTAGGGGTACGGTAGGGAGTTGGGATAGGACGGCGGTAGGGTGGGATCGGGACCAGGGTGGGGCCGGGGTAGGGTGGGGTGGGGGGGTAGGATGGCGGTAAGGGTGGGGGTAGTGGGTAGGGTTTGGGGTTGGGGTAAGGTAGGGGTAGGGTAGGGTAAGGTAGGGTGGGCCTGGGATCCGGGTGGGGCCGAGGTAGGGTAGGGTGGGGGTGGAGGTAGGATGGCGGTATGAGGGTGGGGGTAGGATGGTGGTGGGGTGGGGCCGAGGTAGGAGGCATGTGGTAAGGGGTAAGGTAGGGGTAAGTGGTAATATACGAGGGGTGAAGGTAGGGTAGGGTGGGTCGGGGTGGGGTCGAGGTGGTAGGGGGGTGGCGGTATGGGTGGGTATGAAGGGTTGTGGTGGAGTATGGGTAGAGTGTAAGATCGTGGTAAGGGTCGTGTTAAATGTCCCACACCGGAAAATTGAGAAACACTAGAGTGCTATATTAACCTTTTAGGATGGAACCCCGGGTCTTAACATGGTATCAGAGCCAAATCGATCCATGGTGTGGGGCCCCTTATGAAAAATGACGACACGATAAAAAAAATTGACGAACCGATGAAAAAATGAATGACGACACGATCCAGACGAAGTGTCTGGTCGTGAGGAGGGGTGTTAAATGTCCCACACCGGAAAATTGAGAAGCACTAGAGTGCTATATTAAGCTTCGGGCTACTCCTCCTAACAGGTTGACCTTTTAGGATGGAACCCCGGGTCTTAACGGGTCGTAAGGCCTGAAATAAGGCAAAAAAATATGCCAACACTGAATCGACGGATTTAGTGTAGGATGTAGTTAACATTCTAAAGATGTAGCAATATAGTTATATAGATATTAAGAGTCCGTTTGATAATACTCAATCGTCTGTATTGACTGATTTTGTTGAAATTTATAAAGTTTATGATTTTGTTGAAATTTATAAAGTTTTGGCTGAATTGACTGGATTTGCTGATGATTAATGAAAAAAATTATATTTAAATATATTTTATTAATAAAATAAAGAAAAAATTATATGAAAAAACAGAGATCCTTTACTGTAACTTCAACCAATACGGCCACAAAAGTAATTACAACCTCACTTTTTCATATTATCACACAATTCAGGACGCAAAATCAAAGGGTACATGTTGGGTGACAAAGTAGGCTGATAAGCCTAATAAGTCGAAAAATAGAGACACTAAACGGGCTCTAATTATGTTGAAAGGAATATATTAATTTATATATACCGCTTATTCAAAAAATGTACATAACCTGTTAGCACTCAAAATTGCCATGTAAGTCATAATAACTCGAATTTGCTAGGTAAGTCAGGAAAATAATTTAAATATCTGAAACTTTGGATGAGTGTGAAGTAAGTACCCTAAATTTGAACATGTAATATACATACTCCAAACGTTAGTTCCATTATCATATGTTTTCTTTTTCAAAAATGTAAACTTATGGTCTTGAGTACGTATATAATTTAAAATACACAAAGCATTTATGACTTATGAGGATGTAATTAACATTATGTTGAACCAGATGTACTATTATTTATTTCACAAATGAAACTTTAGAATGTTAATTACATCCTACACAAGCTTGGTGTATTTTAAATTATGTAATGATCACAATAAATTTATATTTAAGAAAGACAAAACATAATTTCATGGTGCGAAAATAACTTTTAATATAAAGTTCGGGGTATATATATTACATATGCAAATTTGAGGTATTTATCTCACACCCCCTAAAAGTTTGGAGTATTAATATTATTGTTCCCTAATAATAATTCTCAGGCGCTTGAGAATTCATAATTTGAGCTATATACTCAAGTTCAGGCTTTTCACCATTTTTAGCATTGGCCAAATCGATCCTAAATATTTTTAATTCCAAAAGAATAGAATTACACAGAAAATAATCTTCTTTGTGTGAATCACAAATTTGTTGCATAAGTTGATTGTACGAAAAAACATGTTGATGTTATTACAACATTTTTTTTAAGAGTATCTCCAATAGGATGGTGCACTGTAGCTGATGTGGCATAGGAGAGAGATTGAGATAGAATAAATATTTGGATGAAATGGTGTGTAAGAAAAATGGAAAAGATAAGAGAGATAGAGGTAAAAATGGATCAAGGTCTATGACAAGGTTCATATATGGACCTTACACGGGATTCAAAAGGAGGAAAAGTTGATGAAAAGTGAGTTAAAAGTTATATATAAAAAATGAAAATGAAAATAAATTAGGAAATACGTGGGTCCTACACATAAAATTGTGAGATAAAAAAATAGGACCCATGCGTAAGAGTGTGTAAGAGACCATACCCTTGCATTGGAGTTGCTCTAAGAAACCCACTTAATCTCTTTCATCATCATTATACTACCTTCAAACTCTGGACGTGCGACAAGCACATCCAGACATAAGCTGGCGAACCCACTTAGGCTGTGTTTGCTAATGCTTTAGAAAAGCACTTTTGGCTTTTTTTTTTTGACAAAAGCTGAAAAATGGTGTTTGCAAATGAGAAATTTTGCTTTTTTTAAGCACTTTTAAGTTAAAAGTGAGAAAGAGCCATGGGGATGCTTTTACTTGCTTCTGGGTTATTTGTAAATATTTCAAAGTTTGAGGATAAATTTAATCCCTAAAATTATTGTTATACCCTAAATCACCCTCTTGACAAAACTATCTCCCGTGATCCAGCTTTCTTCTCCAGGCTCTCCATCTCCCCAGTCTGATTTTTCCATCCAGGTAGTGACCAAAGGGTCGGGAATTTAACGAAGCATTTGTTGACTCCCGTCAGCTCTTCCACTGCCGAGCTCTTCCACCTATAGCTCCCTGCCGCAACAGTAGACTTCCGTCCTCCGCCATCAACCCTCAACAAGCAAAATCAGTCCAAGAAGGAGGGAACCTTTCATCTGCTAAAAATCAGTCCAATTTGTTGGCCTCAACACAAAACTTGTCGTTGTAGGGTGAATCGTCGTTCGCTACGCAATGCCGCCCTCTCTGAAATGAGCTTCCAATTGGGGGTCTGAAACGAAGCCCCTACCCCATTTTCCGATTGATGTTTATAATTTAAATAAGGGTATTTTTGTATTTTGACAATATATACACAAAAAACACTTTCTTTATCAAACACTACAACTTTTACATTTTTATTAAAATCACTTCTATTCCCAAACACTATCAACTTTTACTACAAATCATTTTTCTAATAATTTATTTAAAAATCGCTTTTAAAAAACACAAGCAATCGCAAACACTCCTTTAATCTCTTGTTTCTTTTTGTTGTTCAAAGGGTAGAATCCCCGACCCCAAGGGCCCGCCACACCTTGGCCCGACAAGACTTTGGGGGGTTGTAAGTCAAGGTGACTCAATTTGGTGGTAGAGCTTGTACTCGTGCGCACCATAGGTCCAGTCCAGCATGCAGGAACTGTAACCTCCACTTGGCCGCTGTGGGATTCGATCCTTAATCATTGTCCAACTTTCCCACCACTCAACCAACTAAGCTATCCGTGCGTGTTAAATGTCCCACACCGGAAAGGTTTGGATGAACAAAAGGCTATATTAACACATGTGCTACTCCTCTTATCAGGTTGACCTTTTAGGATGGAACCCCGTGTTTAACATGATATCAAAGCCAAAAAAACGGACTGATGAAAAAAAATTGAATTATGGCACGATCCAGACACGGTCGTGAGGAGGGGTGTTAAAAGTCCCACACCGGAAAGGTTTGGATGAACAAAGTGCAATATTAACACATGATTACTCCTTCTATCAGGTTGACTTTTTAGGATGAATCCCGTGTTTAACCGTGCGGGTATCTCTTATGTCTTCAAAGTTCAATTATTGTCAATTCATCACAAGCCTAGCTGCAGGCCTGCAGCTACGCTGTTGAAGGAATGTGTTCTACCGAGTATTCCTTTAAAAATGTATTGTCAAACAAAATCATGAATAATCTAAAGTTTACTTTTTATAAATCATTTTTTTCTTATGAAACATTACCCACTTCTAAAATAAATCAATTCTGAGAATAATTCCTCATCAAACAGCAAACGCAAAAAAACTGTGTTTCAAAGAGTAGTTAGGGCTCAACAACTGAACTGAGGGCCAACCATGTCCAAAATGGGGTCTCAGCTAATAGGGTTGCCGGGCTCCACACTTGTTACATTATTGTTTATCCAAATTACGGAGTAAAAGATGTCACGCATCAAAAGGAAAATGATTTTCCATCATTCTCAAATCAATGGGGGCCACGGCCTAATACACGAAACCTTGGCTGGTCAGGAATTGATTTAAGTGGAGGACATTTTCTTTGAAAATGAAGTAAACTTTTCCCCCAATTGGAGTCCCCACTTTCAACGATTGAAACCGAACATTTTTAACATAAAAAAAGGACAATTAGATGAGAGGATTGAGGGCTCCGCAACATCGACAATTAGATTGAGAGGAAGTAAAAAAAAGGCGGAGATAGAAATTAAGGAGTTGTCAATTGGACTTCAATTAGACGAGAGGAAGTAAATTGGACTGCAATTAGATGAGAGGAAGTAAAAAGACTCCATTTTAGCATAGTAAAAAAAAACCTCTCATCATTTTTTAACCGGAAAAATTGAAAATAATAATCTCAACTATTGCTGATCCGCTGAAAATAATCCCAACTATTGATTATTTTTGTATAATCCCAACTATATAGACTATCCGCCAATAATGGTCCATGACTATATATTACCTCTATAAAAAGTGAATTTTAAATAGAAATTAAGCGTAAAAATTAAAAATTGAGATTATTTATAGGGATTACTTGTTAGTAGTATATCTTATCTCATCCACTTTAGAAACTACAAGAATTTATTCATAGGGACCATTATTGGTGGAAGGTCCCTAAAGTTGGGATTATTCTGTAATAATCAATAGTTGGGATTATTATGAGCGGACCACCAATACTTGGGATTGTTACTATCAAGTTTTTCTTTTTAACCTTCATGACTCTAGCTAAACATGCCAATTAGCAATAGCCTAAACCGTAAACATTCACAAATCAATGGGAAAGTTTTATATTTGATCAAATAAATTCTATTTTGAGTAGGGCTGGGTCCGAAAACCGAATCAAATTATACCGAACCGTAACCAAATAAAACTGAACCGCTAACAAACCGAAACCGAATGTAAACAACCGAACCGAAGTTGTTTGGTTCGGTTTTGGTTTTGGTTTTTACTCTTCAAAATTGAACCGAACCGAACAAACCGAACTAATTAAAATATAAAATTTATTTGTCAATTGTTAAGCATTAATTCTAACTAATCCTAATATCATTAATAGTCTTTGGTTTTCTTGTGCTAGAGATATAATGTTTGTGCGTTTACTTTAGTTTAGTTAATAAATTCATCTACACAATCATTGCCTGTAATAATGTAGCTATACTGAATGATAACGATATGTTTTTACTAGTTATTAGTATTGATTGCCTTTTATTTTTATTTAACTTAAAAAATTCATATTGATGAAACAATAAATATTCATCTCAACTATATCACATAGAACGTATGTATTCATGAACTTTTTTTGAACTAGTCACAAACAACGTAAATTAATAATATACGAGTATATACTTTTATCCCTCAAAGTATTATATCAATTTTAAATCAAATAATAATTTTTTGGTAAAAAACCGAAAAACCGAAACCGAATTGAACCGAACCAATCAAACCATGTTTCCAAGTTTTGGAGTGTGAAACTGAACCAAAATCGAACCCAACTTTTTACTTTGGTTCTATATTTGGTTTTAGGTCAAAACCGAACCGCAAGAACCGAACCCACCCCTAATTTTGAGAATTGAACATTGTTGTTTCAAAAGGTGAAATCTCCCATCACAGGGTCCCACACACCGACCCGACAGAATGATGGATTAGCAAGTCACTATGACTTAGCCGACCTAATTATGGTAGGTCTTATACTCGTGCGCACCAAAGGTTCAGCCTAGCATGCAGGAGTTGTAACCTCCACACGGCCGCCACGAGTTTCGAACATTGATTATTGTTTCAAATTTCCCACCACTGAACCAATTGAGCTACCCGTGCGAATGAGAATTGAACATAAGTAATCCTTTTAGGGATAATTTGAGTTTGCACACTATTTTATTGTCCAAATTGGACTTTGGACCCCGTTTTTTTTTTAAAAAAAAATGCACCCCAACCCTATATGGAAAGACAAAAATATCCCCCATCAGGAATATGTTGAAGGCCAACAAATTTTTTAATGGAGAGACATTTTTGTCTTTTCATTTGAGTTTGCACACCATTTTATTGTCCAAATTGGACTTTGTACCCCGTTTAAATAAAAATTGCAACCCAACCCTATATGGAAAGACAAAAAGGCCCTCCATCAGAAATATGTTGAAGGCCAACAAAATTTTTAATGGAGGGACATTTTTGTCTTTCATATACGGTTGGGGGTGTAAAAACAAAGTTTTTAAAAAACGGAGTGAAAAGTCCAATTTGCACAATAAAATGGGATGCAAACTCAAATTACTCTATCCTTTTGAATGTGTTTTAGTTCTATTTAGAGAAATGTATATTAACTTATCATCTATGGCAAAGCTTATGTCCCCTGTTAAGTTAATTCATCTCTCTTTTATACTCCATAACTATTCATACTAGTCACGGCAAAATACGTGTAATTAATAAATTTACAGCTAACCGGAGAAATTAGACGCAGATTAAATAACTGAGAACTGATCTACACGAACCTGGTGGAGGCGAGTGACGCGCAACTGTCAACAATGTCGGTGCACAATAGCAAGTCACGGCGATTTCCGGTGGCCTCAAACGACCGGAGGCAGGTGTAAGCCGTCCCCATCAACCCCGTGTACACCGTCGGATCCAAATAAGCACCCGCACTGCCGCCGCGTGCTTTCCACGTGACCTCGACAATCTAACACCACCAACAAAAATCGAATTTCATTTATTGATTTCCTTCACAAAAATAAATGGCCATTTATTCCGGACAGTGTAGCTCACCTGGTCTTTGAGAGACACGGCGGCCTGAAGAAACGACTCCGGTGGTAGTAGAGCGAAGCTAGGTTCGTCGAGGGTGGAGAAGCCGGAATCGTGCCGGTCGTTACCGTCTTCGTGGTTAGAACCGGAACCATTACTTTCCGGCGAAGGAAACTGGACCAGAGAAGATGACATATTTGTGCTGCGAATGTGGATGGATAGCGGAAAAACGAGAGCTGGGGCCGAGGTATTTATTTAGTGAATCAATGGAAGTTGAGCTGGTACGGTTGCAGAAACGTGAGAACGGTGATGCATTGGTCACGCGCCACGTTATCCACGCTGTCCGAGTGAGGGCGATTTCTTATATGGGCGGGTGGGTCTTTATCCGAAGCAGATCCAATGCGTTTATGGCAGACTGTGTTGTGACTCACGATAGACCGGCTCCCACGTCTAATAAGAAATTTCTGGTACATTTCGAGCCCGTTTGGTAGCACCAAAATCGGCTGTTTTGGCTGATTCTGCTGAAATTTATGATATTCTGGCTGGAGTGGCTGTTTTGGCTGATTCTGCTGATTTAAGAAAAAAATATTTTAAAAATATATTTTATTAATAAATTAAAGAAAAAATTATATGTAAAAATAGCTAAAATGGTCCTCTACAGTAACTTCAGCCAATACAGCCAGAAAAGTAACTCCAACCTTACTTTTTCGGCTTATTACACAATTCAGTGCGCGAAAGTAAAAGTTACGTGTTTGGTGAAAAAGCTGGCTGATAAGCCTGATAAGCCGAAAACAGAGTTCTCCAAACGGGCTCTTCGTATTATTCCCTCGATCTCATTCGATTTAACCAGATTTCCCTTTCGAGTTATCAAATAAAACTCTCTCATTAAATAAAGGTTTAAATATGACACACTTTGTTTTAGGTCCATGCAAAATGTTTTTTTTTTCATCCCTGTAATATGTATTATTTTGTTTTTAGTCCATCTCCAGTTCCAAAACTACTCTATTTAAAACAAAAATTATTGTCAGTTATATAAATCTAGTAGACATATTTAAATTTGTCCTTTTATAATTTTTTGAGGTTGATATGAGAGCTAAAATTATTTAAAACTAAGAATTCATATTTTAAAAATATATATTAAAAACCTTCTAAAAAATACAATAAAATACTATTTAAATAACATGATAAAGAATTAGAGGAGATCTATTAATCGGGGTTATTTTGAGGTCAAGCGGAGATTGTTATTATCAATGATGAACTAAAAAGAAAACCAACGTAATTGCAGGGATGAAAAACAAAAAAATAATTTTGCAGGGATGTAAAACAAAATGTACTATATTTGTAGGGACTAAACACATATTTAAACCTTAAATAATTAATTTATAGTTCTATTCAAACCTTAATCTCATTAAGAGCCCATTTGGTAAAATGAAAATTGGCTGTTTTGGCTGATTCTGTTATAATTTATGAAGTTCTGGTTGAAGTGACTGTGTTGGCTGATTCTACTGATTTAAGAAAAAATTATTTTTAAAATATATTATATTAATAAAATAAAGAAAAAATTATATATACGAGTATGTAAAAATAGTTAAAATGATTATCTACAGTAACTTCAGTCAATACAGCCAGAAAACTAACTCCAACGTTACTTTTTCTGCTTATTACACAATTCAGCGCGTGAAAGCAAAGGTTACGTGTTTGGTGAAAAAGTTGGCTGGTAAGAATAATATGCCGAAAAATAGTGTTGTCAAACGGCATCAAAATGTTTTTACTTGGATTGTTTTTAGTTCCAGACAAATCAGATTAGACTTGGATAATTATAAAATACATAGAGAACAAACATTTACTATATCAGACCAGTTCAGACCAGACTAACAATATTAGACCAGACGAGAAAATTTCAGTCCAAGTAAAAACAACCATGATTTTTAATTTTCTTATTTCTCACATAATTCAAAGTGTGCAATGTCCATTGGAACGAACGTAAATTTATTTTTTCCTTTTTTATTGTTTAAAAAACTTTGTTACTTTTCTTCTTGATTAACCAATATGTGATTCTTATTATTTCTATTTCTTCTATACAAAACTCAATGCCACGTTTTTAATTTGTTATTCCGCGTGCCGATCAAACATTATAACTTTTGACGGGTAGAGAGAGTAAAATTATACGGAGTACGAGAGCTCTCAATCTGTTATTTAGAGAAAGTATATGGAGTTAATTACTGTTGGTCTTGTAATTAATGTAACAAACATTAGAATCATACAAATACTTCCTCGGAAGGAAATGCAACAAAAAAATGGAATTCCCCCAAAAACACAAATAGAAAGAAAAGTTGAAAGAGATGAAATGAAGTGATTAAACTTGTTGTAGTGGCTTTCAAGCCTTGGTGTTGATTGTCCGCTTTGCATAAGAGGAATAATCGTATACCATAAGTTCAAGTTCTATATATGCTTATCGCCAAAAGAAAAGTTTAAACAACGTCGAAACAATAAAATTTACCCTGATAAGTTTATTTTCTTAATATGTGTAAGTCAAATCGGGAATTTCTTAGCGGGACGGAGGTTGTATAATAAGACGGAGTGAATGTAGTATTTAGAACCGTTATTAACTTGTACGTAAGTGTAAGTATCGAACCAGACCCCAAAAGCCACCTAAAAATATTAGAAATGGACCATTTCTTATTTCGTACAAAGACGCTATGTAAATAAATTAAATGATCTATCTCATAGCGGACGTCTCTAGGGTGTTCCCTAGCCAGTTTCTACCGCCGGCGGCGGCTTAGCCAGTCAGTCTGGAGGTTCCCTACCAAGCGTGGTTAGTCGAGTCTTCTTCGGTGTCTTCTCGGCCTTTACTTGATTCGTGCAAAGTGGTGATTGGTTGCAGGATTTGGATTTCCGAATTGAGCAGCAAAGGCGCAGGACGGTTGGTGATGATGAGTGTTCTCGGCAAGGCTGGAAAACAGTTTCCCTTCGTTCTTGTTCAATCTGTTGGTGACCGGCCGAATCGGATTTCCTCGCTAATGTTTCTGTTTTCAATTGGGGAGTCTTTTGGAATGTTTCAAGATGAAGGGATGATGATCCGTCCCCCTCCTGAGCCCCCGCCGAGGAAGATGCTTGAAGCAGAATTTCGATTGCTATGTCAGTTTATTTTGTTAAATTTCATTTTACTGTTTTTGAGTTTCTTAGGCATGAACACTATCGTTGTAGTCTTCTGCTATTGCTATTTCAGTCAGACTCTTACATTAGGTGAGGGTGATGAGGATTTTGCTCTGGCCACGTTTGGCTCATTTAGACCCATCACAGGGCAAGCAAATCATATTGCTCTTTTCAGGGTGATTGGTTCTCCAGCTGGTCCGAGGGTCGGTGGCTGGAAGTGTTTTCTTTATCGTTTGTATCCCTTTCTGAATGTTTTATTATCAATATAAGTCCTTGTTACAAAAATAAATAAATCAAATGATGATAGGAAATATATTGTCGAATTGATGATAGTAAGGATTGAAACCATAGCAATAGAGAATCAAATAGTATGTCCATTTAATCAGAACTGGCATAATCTTGAGTCCTTTCCTTGTAATTAGCTATGAAGCAAGCTTGTCGCAATTTCTTGTTTCTTTTAGTAAGTCCCATCTATGGAACATAGCGTCTTACAACATAGTGTTATGTGGTTCTAGGTCTAATTGACCGGTCCGGTTCAGATCTTACAACATAGCGTTATATGGTAGAGGTTTTTAATTATTGAAATACTATCATACTAATGAAAATATAATCCGATTGTATCATGTTGATTACGTATGAGCAGCAAGTTAGATTTTACCGGATACATTAGGGGGTTTACTAATTTAGTGATCCGTTCTGGACCAGGCCCACCTCTACAGCTCGTTACCGTTCTGGACCAGGCCCACCTGGCCTCTACAGCTCGTTACTGTCTTCATGGTTAAAAACTAGAACCATTACTTTCTGGCAAATGTGAATCAGTGGATGGCGAGTTAAAGAACGAGAGTCGGGGCCGAGGTATTTAATATTAGTTATTGCCCTAAATATGACTAAACCTAGGCTAAAATTACAAATAGGATTAAAATCCTAAATCATTCTCAAATAGGACTAAACATTAATTTTCTATCCTAAATACTCCTAAGTGTATTAATTCATAAGAAAATGTTTTAATTCATAATAAAATCATAAAAACTAATTAAAATCAAAGAAAAATAATAAAAATTAATAAAATTTTTATAAAGTAAAAATATTTAAAAAACAAAAAAATTAAAAATTAAAAAATTAAAAAAAATAGTAAAATTATACGAGAGCTGTTAATATGTTATTTAGAGAAAATATATGGAGTTGATTAATGTTGGTTTTGTAATTAATGTAACAAACATTAGAATCATAAAAATACTTCCTTGAGAGGAAATGCAAAAAAATGGAATTCCCAAAATTATAAATTGAAAGAAAAGTTCAAAGAGATGAAGTGCTTACACTTGTATTGTTGTAGCGGCTTTCAAGACTTGGTTTGTTTGTCCGCTTTGCATAAGAGGAATAATCGTATACCATAAGTTCAATTTAGAAAATTTATAATAGCATTGGTTTCTCTTTGTGTAAGAGCTGGAATAATCGTATACCATAATTTGAATTGAGAAGTTATGTGCTTGTGTCTTATTAAATTGAAAGTTTGTAATAGGATTGGTTTCTCTTTGTGTAAGAGCTGGAATAATCGTATACCATAATTTGAATTGAGAAGTTATGTGCTTGTGTCTTACTAAATTGAAAGTTTGTAATAGGCTTACTCTCACAAACGATAAGAATGTGTATTCTCACACATATATTAATTTTGCTCAAACCATTATAGTTTGTGGTATCCTCATCCTATCCTTCTCCCCTCTCACTTATCTCACTTCATTTTTTAAAAATCCAACCATAAAAGTGAGGATTAATTCATAGATCCCAATATATATTACTCCGTACTTTTTTTTAATGAATGAAATAGGCTTAAATTGATAACACATAATTCGCTGAGCCATTAATGGACACAAATGAGCCCATTAATGAGCACAAATGAGCCCATTAATCATAAATTACTCCGTACTTTCTTATCAAGTCATATAGAGTATCACAACAAATCCATTATATAATAAGACGGGACGAATCTTCTGATACTAACAAAAAGAAATTCAAAGGGCGTAAGCCGCTAGGCCTCTTCTTCCTAGGGCATAAGCCGCTAGGTCTCTTTTTCTGATTTCGGTCGCTACGATCGAAGATTAGATTTCCTTTGTTTGTTTCGATTTTACACAGAGAGACTACAGGCGGCCGGCGAGAGTCGTGCAGTTTGGTTGTGGTGACGAATACCGTAAAAGCAGTTCTGGATCGTGATCTTGCTCGGGTTATGGACTCCTCACTTGTGCCACTAGTTTCGATTG